ACTGTCCTTGCGCAAGCCGTGTCGGCCACCCCAACAAGGTTACTCGACATGTGCTTCAAGGTGAAGACGTCCGCCGGCATCACATTCGTCATGGCGATGTTCTTGACACCGCTATCGCCCTTGGCGTGGTCGCCACGGTTCAAGGGGCACTCGTCGTCCTTGTGCCAATGGCCGCGCCTTCCGCAGCCTCCACAGAAGCTGCGCGCCTTGATGGCGCGAACTTTGGCCTCTCGATCTCCACCGCCAGGGGCTCCTCGTTGGTCGCCGTCACGATCGCCATCCTTCGTAGGCTTGTCACCGTCCGTAGTCTCGCGAGCTCTCTGCTGTGCCCGGTACTTCTCCTTCGCAGACTGGTAGGTCATCAGCGCCTCGGCCACCTCCTGGGGGATGGCCTCGTCGTTGTGCTCGGAGTCCTCCTCGTTCGCGGGGTCGCGGTCGTGCTCGGTCATGTGGGCGAAGTTTGTCCGCTTCGGCCTGGCACTCGTCCCCTCCCATGGTTTCCTCTGTCCACGGTCGTGAAGGACCGCAGCATGCTGAAGGTGGTGTACGCTGTATCTGTTTCCTACACTGGCCAACAACTTCAACTCCTGAGCTTCCTCAAGTTGAAGTCGGTCTAAGTAGAGCCACGCCGCGCACTCCTACGGTAGAGAGCATCCGACTTCTCGTAGGCGAGCATGAAGACGATCGTACTCGGTGTTGTGCTCTCTGATCGTCTGCGTGGGCTTCCTTCGCAACTTGCGAAAAAAGTCAGAGAACGCCCGGCCGATCCTGGCCACCTCCAAGTCGAGGAAGCGGGCCGAAACCCACGAGGTGAAATACCCCAGGCCCTCGGAAGTGCTCAACCTGGAAACTGAAAGCTCCTCCGCCGCAATCCAAGCCTTGCCTTGTAGATTTTGGTAAAGGACTAAACCCAACTGACTCGTTGGCAATCGTGTAATCCTCTTCCAAACTTCTATCTGTCGAAGGTACGACCGTGCGGAGTTGCCCCAGTCGTCGTTGTCCTCAGCTGAAAAAGTTGGCACGGTCAAGCGCTCGGTGGGGGACCTTTATCGCCATCTTCGTGTCCCTGCCAAGTGTTCCACTTGTGGTCGCCCTGCGAGTCGTAGCTGCGTCCGTCTTGCCATGAACCGAGGTCTGAACCATACCCGGAGCCATCGTTCCACCGAGTGAGGCTATCATTCCAGCGGTGAGGACCCCCGGAATCATGTAACGCATGGAGTCTGTCTCGACCATCTGCCTGCATGCTGTAGTTGAGATAGTACATGAACGGATCTAGAGAACG